AAACCGCTAGACCTGCCTTCATGGAAATTTAAAAAGTTATTCATCTTGTTAAAACAAGTAAACAAGTTTTTTGAATTATTCAAATCAGACGCTCCGTTCTTTTAAAAACTGAGTTGCCGTTTTCGGCACTTTTTGCCCCATATCTTCGGAACGGCTAGACCTGCCTTTGCCAAAAACTAATCAACAGGTCCTTATCAATACGAATTGAATGTTTTATTGAATTATTCAAATCGCTTCATTCGTGTTCCCGAAATCGTAGACGAAAATTTGTATCCGAACACGCACACATACACGCGCACACACACACATAGACACAAAAACTTTATAAGATTATATGCTAAAGCGTTTGATTTAATACATATTTTAACTTCCCGAAGCAGAATTTTGTTTTGGCAAAAAAATCCGATTTGCTAATTTCATTGTTTCTCGCCTTTTCAAGTCATTCTTCAAAGACGTTTTCTCAGAAACGGCTAAACCGATTTCAAAAATTTAAAAGCCAGTCAGCGATATTTGATAAGCGATGGTTATTTTTATGATACGATCGACGAAGCCGTTTCTTTAGAATTAGCAGAAATTATGGTATACTATTAGCTAAAAATCCTGAACCGATTTTAACTATTCAAAAACTACTCTGAAGAAAAAATTTGGAAATCGTTCTGATTAGTTTTTGACAAAGATCCACAAGACCGTTCCTTTCTAATTGATTATAATGATAGAGTATATCTCGTCTTAATTAATATACCAAAATATTAGAGCCCTACAAAAAAGTAAAAATTAATTAAACAGTGAATTAACCGCCGTGCTTTAATAAAGCTTTAATAAATTTAAAAAATACTTTGTTTATGCATTATTTATAAGTAATTGCGTGATAAATAAAGTGTAAAAAATTGTTTATAATTGAATAATCTGCAATAGTTTGTAATATTATATTTTTTTTTTAACCAATTTGGTATGCTTATAAATCACTCATAAATTATTATATCAATTTCTTATTGATTTAGTCGATTATTTATACGTTCATGCAACTTGAAGGCAAAATGTCACTTAAAACTAATTTAATATTCGTGTTTTTCTTATTCATAATATGTAAAAATTACTAGATTTAGTTGAAAAAATACTGCTATGAGATGTAAAAGTAAATCAGAATAAAAAAGCGAATACAAAAATTTGATTCAAACAATACACTTGCGAATCAAGTGATTTTATATCACAATATAATTAACATTATGAATGTATTTGTATGTTTGAATGTAATTGGGCTTCCTGTTTTTGGTGGCATTGTTGAATTCATAATTATTACATCACTAGAGATAATTAATGCAACCATTTATATTATCAAGCAATTATGAAAATAATTCATAAAATTACATTTATCGAAATCATAACAAGCGTGAGAGTTAGAATATAATAGAAATGATTAAAAATGTAATTGTTAATAGCTGAAAGTCATTCGTTTTATGAATCAAGGTTGGGAATTTACGTACCAAATTGACTGAATAGTCTAAAATAAAATCGGTACAAAACGCACAAACGTCAAATTACAATTTTATCATAAGCCCATCTTTCTGATGTCTCATTGATAACACATATGTGAAGTTAGGTTTTATGTGTAAAACGCCTGATGGTACACCAAATACATAGATTTTTAACTCTTTGTTACTACCAATTCATACGAAGATAGACCCGTAACTAGCATTACCATAAGATTTTTAACTATTTTAACTGAGAATTGACCCCATAATGTAGAATATTGTCGTCGATAAGAAGAGGCTGCATATAAAATTACCCCAAAGAAGAGACAAGTTTAAACGGGATACTTAACAATAATAAAATCGATTCATTGATCATATATAAATAAATTTAGTTTTAAACCTTTTGAATTAAGCATATTGACACCTATTGTATTATTGACCGACTAACAACAATGGAATGGTCACATAAGAGTTCAATTAGTAAGTATTACTACATACGCAGTCGCCCACTTGGCAATTCTTCTGAGAATGAGAATGAAAACTAATACAGTAACTAATTGTATATTTCTTATCTTCAACTTAAATGTTTGACCTAAATAAACAAACATTGAACGATTTTATTAAGGATTCAATAAACTGCAACAAAGTATTGAGGGGGCGTCCATTAATCACGTGACCGATTTTTTAACGATTTTTGGACCCCGAGTAAAAATGGTAAAATTTTAGAAAATGTTTGTTTTTTTTTCAAATCAGGTAAAAAACAAATACACGTGATACTCTACTGTACCCCTCCCTCTCCCACGTGATATTTTGTGATTTTTTGTCAACCCCCCTCCCCTTAAAAACCTCACATGATTAATGGATGCCACCTAAATACATTTATTAAGTATCGAAGCCAACAAAAAGCCAAAAATGCAAAATTTAGTTAAAGATGAGAATTGCTCTATAAATAGATTCCGTTTTAATTTTAAAAGATTTTTATCCCATTAACTTCCCGAAAGGTAAGTTATTGTAATAGTCCAAAAATAGAAAATAAAATTTTTTGCATATCTTTACGTTTCAGGGGTTTCTGAACATTTTGGCATACTTACAAAATATGGATGTGTGTGTGTATGTTTGAATTCAATTTTTCTTTGACAATTTCGGGCTTACGGATCAACTGTTTTGAATGATTCAAAATGCAATCGATTCCTATTGGTAAGGAGACGTGCTGATTAGTTTTTGGCAAAGGCAGGTCCAGCCGTTTCGAAGATACAAAGACAAATCGTCCCAAAATCGTTCCAAAAATGGTATTTCAGTTGTTGAGCGTCCAATTTGAATGATTCAAAAATATTTTATTGGTATTAACGAAAAGAAGAAGTGATATGAATGTTTTTCAAGCTTTTTTAAATATTTTAATTTTTGGTACAAGAAGTACCAAATTGACCTTAAGGCAGTTAGTTCTTAACCTTAAAAGAAAAATATCTACATCCTTGCATTTTAAATACCAGAAACCTTTGTCACCCTTTCTTTCTCTTGTCAGACGAAAATACACAAATTTTTACACAAGTTCTAAGAAAATTCTCTATATATCTAATTTAATCTTAGAGTAATGAATTTTAATATAATTCGAAGAAAAATATTTGCTTACAAATACACTTTGCAGCTAATATTATCTTAACCAGAGAGCACAAATAAACGTTATGATTATAATAACAAAGAGTGGCATATATAAAAAGGATCGTAAATAACTTTTAAAGAAATACGATAAGAAATTCAAATAAAAATTATTGGCTACGCATCATATAACATCTCATATCACATTTTATTAATATACATTTTATTCATATCGAAAACTATGAGATTAAATTCCTTCAACAATAAAACTAGATTTTGTTTTATATTATATTTTAGGAATGCCAGACTAAGTCTTTTGTCTGGATATGTTGGACTCACAAATTAACAGTAATGAACTCGGTACCATATTAAAAATTTTAAGAGAGCTTGGAACATGCATTTTTCAAGGTACTATTTAATTTGTTGAATGTGAATAGTTAAAAGTTAT